GTCTGATTATGATGATATTCCGGTGTTCCGGCCCCGTTCCCGTACAGGACAGGGGAGTTTGGGGCGGAGACCTGTGTTTGTACTGCTCTTGTGAGCCACCGATCCGCCTCATCGCTTTAGAGATACCCATCAGGAGGCAGTATATCTCCGGCGCAGTGTGTGTGGCGAGCTGGAGCTGCGCGGAGCACCTTTGTCTCTCTCTCAGAGCTTCACTTTAACAGGGCGCGGGGTTCGAGTTGCTGAGACGGAGGGGAACCGCTTTGAAGAAGTGGATCTGGACGGGTTTAATAGGCCACACCCTCTCTCTCTCTCTCTCTCTCTCTCTCTCTCTAGAACTACTACAAAGGGCTAATTGTGAGTAAATGATTACTCGGGTGAATTTTTTAGTTTTTGCGAGGGATCAAAGATTGTAAATATATGCAGAGCCGATCCTGCCTATATGCAAAGTACGCATGTTGCATAGGGCCCCCGAAACACCAGATTTAATTTCATCTTTGAATGTATTTCTAATGAAACATGAATGTTCCTTTAATGCGGTGCATTGTTGCACTTTCTACGTAACATACAAATCAGTCAAATCATGTAACGTCGTATACAGTCTCCATGCCGTTTTTGCTCGATACTAAAAAACGAGTTAAAAACACACCAAGCTGTGGTTTCCCAAGCACTTTCCGTGTGCGCGATTCGAAACACGGACAAATATAGGCTACTCTGCACTTTCTATGTCAAAATGCTTGTCTTGGTGAGTTTTCACTAAACGCAGTCAGTTATGTCTTAAGTGAACATAAACAGTTTGAAAAGTAGCCTAACCGATCGAATGCTAGTCAGTATATTAGATCTGTGCATTCTGTGACAGCATCCTATAAACCTGCTGCTGTCTGTCATCATCTGTTAATCAAACAGCAAAAGAAAAGGAGAGAATTATTCACTGCTCTTCACTGAATATTGCTCATAACTTTGTTATGAATCAGTTTATGTTTAATGTATATGGTTAAGTCTATGCAGTGCTTTATTTGTAAATTTGATTACTTTAATCAATTTCTGTGTAGTAGGCTATTATAGGCTACATTCTATTTGTATTTTTTTTTCTGTTGTATTTGCCCTATTGTTTGTAATTTTCTTCCTTTTTTGTATTACTGACTTTTTAAAACTCACTGTTGTTTGTTGACAGTGAAACCGCTCTGAAAGAATAGGTTAAGGGGTTGGGGAGCAATTTGGGGCCCTGACAAAGTTTTGCTTAAGGCCCCCAGAAGTCTAGGATCTGCACTTAATATATGTTCCAAATCATGTCTTAATAAAAACCCTAAAATGACAAAAAGCAGGTTGAAAACAGTGTATGTGAATGGGATTTTAAAGCGTGTGTGTGTGTGTGTGTGAGTGTGTGTGTGTGTGTGCGTGTGTGTGTGTGCGTGTGTGTGTGTGTGTGTGTGTGT